GCCCAGGGAAAATATAATAAAAGTTGTGATGAATGAACTACGTCAATTACATTAACATAGCATATTTTATTGGAAATACTTTCCCCTGATATATTACTTTAAGAAATTAACATAGCTAGTGATGTGCTTACAAAATGACAAATCCCATAGGGTCTCTTTTCTCAATCCCCACAAATCAGGAAGGCCCATCTTCCCTTAAAGACTCTATGCAAACCAATGCCTGCAGCCTCCTTGCCAGAAGCCCTGAGAAATGGAGGGGATGTCTCCTGGGCTCTGCAGCAGCAGCAAATCACTGCTCCCCAAGTAGCCACTCCCTGAGGACCTTCACTCCATGCTCCATGGGGCAACCACAATAGACTTTCTAGTGGCAGGTGGACCGGTTGCGTTGATCAGACAAAGTGAAAGACCTTCAGACTAGGTGCAATGAGTGATATCTAGATGATCAGAACATGCAGATTGTGAATGTACCTGTTCAGATGAGAACAGGCTGTTCTGAGTGTACCGTGTCCTCCTCAGGCTCCACAGTGCTCAAAACTTTGTCCTCCTACCCACCTCCTCTTTGTACTGTGAGCTGAATCCTGCAAAGTGCAAAATGCCCATGCACTTGCTGATAACTCACACAGCCCTGCCAGGAGAATGCACGCAGTCCAAAGGAGGGCAAGTGGTGGGATGGCTCATTTGGGTGTGGGGGGAGGGAAGCAACTTTAATTTCCAGAAGGGGTTCAGTCGGAGCCCGGCTGCGTTAAGATGTTGAGAGGCTGTGATAGCTGGAGGCTTCTCCTAGCCACAACTAGCAAGGCTAGATCCCAGCCAGCATCAGCCACATTTGGGTCTATCCTGGAGACCTGCTGGTTCCCTAGTATAGGGGAGGTTGCTGATTCTCTGACCCACTGCAGAGTCAGAGACACACTTAACTGAAGAGTCCAGCAAACGCCTATGATCAGGCATTACTAATAGCTAATTATCAGTGGGTCCAATTGTGTTCTGGGGGAACCAATTTTGAGATCTTACCAATCCAGTTATTTAAGTTAGGAAATCAGGAGTATCCGTGCAAAATTTGGTGTTTCTAGCTCTTACCGTTTTGGAGATCTTTCATAATTATCAGTGGGCCCAATTGGGGCTTTGGGAGAACTGAGAGAACCAATTTTGAGATATAACCAATCCAGTTATTTAAGGTGGGAAATCAGGAGTATCCGTGCAAAATTTGGTGTTTCTAGCTCTTACCATTTAGGAGATCTTCCATTTTGGAGATCTTTCAGAATTATCAGTGGACCCAATTGGGGATCTCGGGGAACTGGGGAACTGATTTCATGATATTACTAATCCAGTTATTTAAATTAGGAAATCAGTAGAATCTGTGCAAAATTTGATGTTTCTAGCTCTTACTGCTTCGGAGATCTTTTGGGACAAACAAACAAACAAACTTTCAGAAATATATATAAGATTATTATATTAGTTACTAATGAAGGCAAGATAGTCAACCAACTATGATTTGTTACATAATGGAATAATGATTGCACACTTTATTCTTTATCTCCATGTTTTGTTTTCAGGATGAATTCAAAGATTCATGGTTTCACCAAGTAGAAACTGGTTCAGCAAGTCATGAATTAAACAACATGAGGATGTGCTTATCATAGCCATAATATCATTTATCTTGGACAAAATCTAAGTCAACATATACATACGATCATTACCAATACAATAAACTTCCGATAATCTGGCACCTTTAGGACCCAGGGGGTGCCAGATTATCAGATATGCCAGACTATCGGAAGGGGGGGCTATGAGGGGTTTGGGATGGGGTGGGGAGATGCCACCCCAGATCCTTCATAGCCCCCCCTTCTGATAGTCCAGCTCTTCCCCAGGCATCCCAATTCAGCTGATGCTGGTCAGTTTCAGCAGTGACTGAATCGGGGACGCCTGGGGCAGAGCAGCTGGGGTGCTGCTGGGTTGGTCCTTCAGCACCTCCCCTGGGTGCTGTGGGACCAACCC